TCTAATATACTGGTCCCTATCATGTCGCGCATGCATGTGCACTGCACCGAGAGCGTGCATGAATTCGTGAGCCACAGTCCCTACCTTAAAACAATTTCGTTACAGAAGTGCATGTAGAAATACATATTTTTCGTGTATGTATAACTTACAACGAAGCATCTATTAGCCAATGATAGCGTCTGTTCGCCTCCTGTCATTCCCATCGCTCCGAAACATCCTGTGCCATCGAACACCTTTACACGATTTGTCACCGTGGAAGATTCCGTAAATGTGATACAAGTTCGATCACTCAGATACTTTAGCTGTTTTCTTACGTATGCTTGATTTTCAGCGGCTGAAAGTTAATTCAGGTAAATTACTCGTTAGGCAAGTACTGAGAAAGGCTTTTAGCTGGACATACTTATAGTGGCGTCAAAGTAGTAGAATAGTTTCTTGTTCGGCCAGAGGGTGGCGTATGTGGCAATTTGACGTTTCTGTCGAGTTTGCTTTCCCTGGTCGTTCTTCAGTGCAGAAATTTGTTGGCTAAAACTTCATAGAAAAAATTTAGGATGGAAAAAATTCTTTTTGGGTCTCGAGACGCAAGAGATGACAAGGGAACCGCGGCACGTTCTTATCAGATTTGCACTGTCGTTAACTTTACTATTCTTTCTGGGTATGATACAGCATCTCCAATATAATGATTCATTCGAAGGATCGCTGATGGGGGGTAAGCTCTTGAAAAAGCGCATTTATTGCAGTTTGTTTTCGAAGGGAAGACCTTTTCATTTGAAAAGCTTAGTTTATGTGAGTCGTTGCGAACCAATTTTGATCACAAGAAAAAGGGCATAAGAGGAACCCATCTGGTCATAATTATCCAAGAGACTATGCAAAAGAGTGCGTAAGGAATTACCGAAAATAAAAATACTCGTACGTACTCAGTAAGAGTATATCACCATCGTCGTAAATACTCGTCAATTCCTTCACTTCGATTTACTTCCGTGATCATACCCTTGTCCGCTGGGATATTTTCTCCGGTCTTCGCCTACAATAAAAAATCGAATCAGATAAGGTCAAAGGTCCTGAAATGGGAGAAATCCAACTCACTTCTGAAGAATCAACTTTTCAGACATATGTAGCTTTTGGTCCCAAAGTTTTCAATATAAGATTTTTCAGCCTCTAATGACGCCTATCGAAATCGATGCCCCCATAGGCCTAAAACTTACAGTTTTCTCACTCTGAATGACTAATGAGTGATCTGATTTGATCTTAAACTCATCGAAGGTACCTCGGAAGGTTTCACAAATAACGTAGTCACTTACAGCGACCTTATTTGGACTATCATGAAGAACAGAAATAAGTAAGTGTATTGGAATATACATCCTGCAGATAAAAAAGGGAAAAAGAACTGATCGTAGTTGGAAAGGGGAAGAAAAAAGCAGCGGATAGAATGCATGGGGAATCACATTGTAGAATCATGCTGGAGTCTTTCTTTCGTGTGCGGTGAGCCCAATTTTCCTATTCAAGGAGATAGAGGGGACCCTGCAGGCAATCCTGCTCTCTTGTCAAAAAGCAAAGGAAGGCAACAGTTTGGAGCTTGCTTCCCCTAACTAGCTTTCCTGTAGAATAGTGGTGATCTACATCTCCTCCAGAAGCTTCTCTTTCATTTATCTGGAACATACCCTTGTCAGAGCGATTCTTCCTTTTTCGGAAAGACAAAAGCTGCTGTCCAGTAGTACGGTTAGAAGGAGGAGCGTCCCAATCATTTTCACCCAAGCTTGGCGGATTCTGTAATACTGAATTTTTGAGATGTGTGAGAAAACTTAGAGAAAAAGGTGAGGGTACTGATGCTCAGGAGAGTACAATTTGATGAATGAGCTTGAGTGGAGGGCACTTTTATACACTCGAGACCATGTTTCAATAATTCGAACTCTCTATGTCTACCGTGTTCTCTAGCTACTGCTTGGACACAAATACTATTAAAATTGTACGCTGAACTTGCAGGATTCCAAATTCGCTCATAGATTACTTTTTGGTTGAACTTTGTGGACCCCGTTATTCCCCGTTGCTCTACCTGTTACGGTAACACATCGTTAACAAGCAAATCAGGTAGTTTTCACTGGACTGTTATCAGCGATTTGGCTAAATTTCTTGCTGATAGGCAAATCATGTTTTTGATTTCCCAGACAGCTTGTCCCCCCAACAGAACTACCATCGATAAGAGACGAATCTTGTTGGTCTGGGCGAAATTTATGTATAAGTAATCCTCGGCTGCCACTGTAGCAATAACCTTCCCTGCCACTTTGCAGAGATGTTTTTAGAGAGTAAAAAGGTGTAGCTAAATTCGTTATCTCAAATGAATTTTGGGTTCACAAATCATAAATGAATTATAGCTGATCCATATTATTGAGTTGATAATCCCGATTAGTCTGGCGGTGAGCGGCCCCGACGGTTGATACGTGATCAAAGCTCAGCCAAGGGAGCAGGTTCAAGGGGCAGGCTCGAGTTCAACTATGAGAGGTGAATGAGCTAGTTTTGTTCCATATTGTTCAAATGCCGAGTATATATTATACCGAAATCTGCCATCAGAGAGCAACCTTCCCTTTACACACATCTTTGCTATCTGTTGTCGAATAGCATTTATAAAGTAATACTGTTGGTGACCGTTTTGGAATAGCCTGGCCACCCGGAATCAACCCAGCTCTCATGTCAAAGGATAAATAGGCTTCATTCTCTTGAACCTGAGGGAGCCTCAAATACATTAGTGCCGCTTTCAAGAGGCAGCTAAAGTCCAGGGTCTACAGAGAGGTCTACATTTTTGAAGGTCTCGTCGGTATTTCGACGCCAGTTCACGATAAACATCAGGCCGAACTTCAGTCCTTTGTCGTGGTCATATTCAAAGGAGGGTGAGGTGCTGTAGATCCTTTCGAACCACATAGCTACCCCTTCTTTGGAAAAAAAACTGACAAAAATGGTGAATTTCTAGTAAAAGATTTCGCTCTGTGAGGAAACTGATAGAAAAACATTGCTGAGTTGCCCAAGGAGCTATTTTTGGTCCAAGAAAGAAGGTACTCATCCGGTACGCTCAGAGCTGTCAAATTTAACAGAATCTTCCAGGTAGAGGTTCTTCTACCCCTAGTAGAGCTAATTTAACCCTCATTCAATGCTATTATATGAATTTTCGGTGCACCTAGATAGGTTCTGTTGAACCTGATGAAGGCCTCCCCTGATACCAAGGAAATTCAAAAGGAATTTCCCTTAGAGCTTAGGCGAAGTCCCTGGAAGTATTTTAGTTCAACGAAAAAGTCAGGGCAAATGATTTCTAAGCACTCTTCCCCAGTTTCCGGACGACAGCTCATTCCACGGTCTGTCAGAATCCGTCACTCAAGAGCTTCCGGTTTTCATTTACTTGGAAGTGTTCTATACTTTCAAACTCGATGCAGATACTAACTCTGACGCCAACTAACAGCTTCTGGATTAGTGAACGTTTGCTGGTTCAGCCTGGGAACAGTTCCCACGCAACAGATTACCACAAAGCCTGATCACTGCCCAATTTCGCCTCGTTTTTGCAACCAGATGGAAAATATGTAAATCAGGCAAAAAAGCTGTACGTTAATTGCCACCGTGAGAGTTTTAGGTCAATCAAGCTCTCCCTTTGGGTGGTTGTTGATCTTTCCGATAATCAATCGCCGTCGGTTTTTTGGAGGGGGGTGTTCCTTCTGTTTTCCTTCTTCATTTTCTTCCAGATGTTTCTTTATTTTGTAGTTTTCTGCGTTCTCATATCAGAAAATATTATTGAATGGCAGTCACATATGGTATTAGTCAGAATCGTTACTTTTCTCTTTTCGATTACTTTCTGGAATCCTATCTTTCTGGAATCTAATTTGACTGAAAACGTTTATGAAGTAATCGTTATTTTAGCATGACTTTGAGTAGCCGTCGAGGGACAGGAAATGAAGAAGGTCCACTAATCATAGAGAACGCTTTTGAGGTAAGATATTCTGCAAGATTTTGCAAGGTTTTTTTTTTTATTTTTGATTGTCATATGTTTGGGAGAGATCTCTGTCAGGAGCACAGGGTTAGTTTATAGATAGGCGAAGATGTCACATTATGTTTGTGCACATAACTGTGAGTGTCTGGTCTGCCTCCATCATATCGATGTATGCATATGTGTGTTTGTTTGTGTTTATGTATTCTGTATTTGTGTGTGTGTCTATTTTTGCTTCTCTGCAGCACCTTCAAAGTTGATGCAGAACTAATTAATTTTGATGAAAGTAGAGCAGAAAATGGCATGAAAAGTGCAGGAAAGGAGCTTGACGGGGGACGTCATTCACCGACAAAAGGCGTACTGTTTTTCCAACGAGGTCTTGAAACTGTTCTCTTTTAAAGCCCAGTGCTCCAGTTGCTAGCTCCTCTTGGTCAAATAACTTTCTTAGTGTTGTCGTTCCCATTGTGGAACTGCTTATTCCACAATGCCGTAACACTTCAATTGAAGCGTATCAGTTCAAGCAAAAAGTCCTTTATGAAGAGAATCTTTCAACACAAATAAAGTGGAATTTGTTATTTTCCCCATCTTGAAATGAATATTTAGCATTTTCCTCAGAACTCTTCATTCAGGACCTGCAACTGAAGCACTAATTATGGATAAAAAGACGACAAGACGGTATCTTGTATCCTGAAGCTTGCAACCTTCTGATGAGTAGCAGTTCTGTGGTGGAGATTTTAGTGAGTTCGAAGCTAACAGTTGAATACTTGCAACAAAAGTCACTGAATTATCTAAAAATGTGATTGTGTATCAATTTGAATCAAAAAGTAGAGGGAGAAAGGTAGTAGTGGAGAGGTTGATGTATTGAAGGCTCTGCATCGCCTTGCCTCAGTTTGACTATCTCCTTATCTTCTTCGAATGGCAGAAGTAAGATCGCAAGTTAGGCAAGCCATCTGGAAGTTGCGTGCCGCTCCTACAAAACTCTACCAATAAAACTAAGGAGTAAGTACCCTCCGAGTTCAACAGATCGCAAATTTCTTTTTATTCGCAGAAGATACATTTAAAGGGAATTAATCATGAAGCCTAGTAGATAGGCGATGAAAAAAGTCAAGATTACAATTAGTTTTTCGCTATAATATGTAAACTTTCACTTTTGCTGAAGATCGAATTCAACATGAGTAAATGCTCCTTACGGTATTTACCGTATATGGATTTTCGGTAAAGAGCNTAAAACTGAGGGGTAAGGACCCTCCTCCAAGTTCAACAAATCGCAAATTTCTTTTTATTCGCAGAAGATACATTCAAAGGGAATTAATCATGAAGCCTAGTAGATAGGCGATGAAAAAAGTCAAGATTACAATTAGTTTTTCGCTATATTATAAAAACTTTCACTTTTGCTGAAGATCGAATTCAACTTGAGTAAATGCTCCTTACGGTATTTACCGTATATGGATTTTCGGTAAAGAGCCAACCCCTCTGTATCCCTGGCGTTGGGTTAGAGTCAGCAGTAGTGGTACAGCACCAGCACGGTAAGCCGAAGCGCAGCGTACGATCAAGAAAAAGAGATTTTCCTCGACAGTCTAGCACGTAGGGCATATGACTTTACAGTTAAGACTTTTAACCGAATAATTATAGAATAATATTCTTTCCCTTATATACTGCAGTTTGCCGAACTTTCTAGTAATAGTAAGCTGAAACGATGACTAGAGAATAAGCTGCACATTCATCTGATATCTTCTTTTTGTTCGACTTCTTCCGAGCCATAATCCCGCGCCGTCGCAGGGTCCGTCCTTCTCGTCAACTGCCTGCGCTTCTTTCCACTACGGCATCTTCTGCGGATGATTTGGCCTCGACAAGATCTTCTTGATCACAACCGGCCACCTCATCTTTGCGGCTCCTGTTTCCGAACCGTGAGACTCGAATTCGATCGATTCCATCAAATAATTCCGCGGCCTTCCCAAAACGTGTCTTTACCATTGCAGACGTTGCTATCTTTTCTTCAGCTGGGGAGGAGCTCCTACATCGACGTTTCTGGTTTTGTCCACTGCATCCACTCCGCATTCTAAGTATTA